GAGACGAACTTCGCCGAGGCTGTGGTGAATTTTGATTTGACCTTGGTTGAAGTTGGTCCAGCTGTGCTCGGTAACCGGCCTGTGTCGAGCTTAGAAAGTCGAGCCATGAGTTGGTGGTGCGAGTCTGCTTTTCCTGACGATCAAAACGTTGCATGATCACCTCCATCATGGCTATCATAGGGTCCTGACCCGGGGCGATCGCTGCTTCTTCGGTTGCGGTTGTTCTTGGCTCGGGCTCCGCTTGCCTTCCCTGGACGGCTATAGGTTGGACGATCTGAGGGCGATCCGGGGTATCGAGGATAATCTGGTCGTCTAGGGCTCGCTCCTGCTGGTTTCTGTCCATTTCCGAGCTTTTATCGTGAGTTGGAGAATTTCTATCCCCCTACCTGGCGTGCCAATTGTTGATTCAGGTATTCGACAATGTATTTGTACTCGGTAAGGATCGGAAATTCCCGTTTAATGATGCTAACTCGGGACAGGTTACAGCAAATGATTTTAAAAGTGACAGAAGGAGAGCTGTGTATTGAGCTTGGACGGTACGAGGTCGCTGAATTCTGGGTCGTTGAGATCGAGGTCGGTGAATGAGTATCTGAGGTCGGCTTCTCGGAATAGCGAGTAGAAACCCTGTATGTCTACCAGTGAACAGTTCTTATATTTCTTGATCGATCGAGCTCAATCAGAAGATTCTTTCTGTTCGGTGTCAGAGAATAATTGTTGTTAGCTCTCAAATTCTTTTATGCTTGTCCTAGAATGGAAAAAACATGCTTAACTTATGGGATGGGGTCCCCTATTTATACTAAAAATAGAATGAGTAAGGTACTAGGTTTTCCTCGGGACCGGCGCTGATGTCATTCACTGCAGAAGATGGCTGGGCTTCTTTCGGGCCCGAATCATTAATCACTAAAACGAGCTCGTTGGGCCTCTACCTTCTGGGCCGAGCTCGTCGGGCTTCTGCTTGCTGGGCCTCTTCGGAAATGGGCTTCTAGAGTGACTACTGCTGAAGCCCATGCCCAACAATACCCGACCTTAAATCTAACTTTCCTTAGATTAATTTATGT